GATGCGGATAACCTGGCCGGCTTTCCGCACCCGGTCTGGAATGTAGCTGGGGTCACAGATCAGCTGCTTGCAGCGGGCCACCTGTGAAAACACCGGAAGGCCTATCCAAACACTCCCCTAGGTGGTCGTGGGGTTGAGTCCACAGCGAGGGCTGGCACTGTGCTCCTCTGAGCGGTACAGCTTCATCTTGTACCTCGGGGAGGTGGGCCCCCGAATGCAGCGCTGGGAAACACCTTTTACCCAGACCCTGTGATGGGGAACACTCCCTGGACCCCTGACACGGCAAGTGGGTCTGAGAGCTACCTCTCACCAACAGAAGTGGCTATGTGGACTCCTTCCGGAGCCCTGGTCCGCAGCCCAAGGGGACCCACGGAGAGACCCAGCAGAGGCCGAGTCACCGGGGAGAGAGCCTCTAAGGAGAAGGCCAAGCCCCACCCAGCCCGCCATCCTTGCACCACAGCGAAGGCTTACCTCTCCCTCAGACTTCACACCCACCACCTTGCCATTCTCCATGATGATGTCATCCACGGGTTTGTTCAGCATATATGTCCCCCCATAGATGGCACTCAACCTGTGGTGGGGAGAGTGATGGTGGGAGTCTCCTTCCCAGGAGAAAACAGGGACTGGTGCCCCTGTGCTGTCCACTCCCCGCCTCCAAACCAGTCCCGGGGTACAAAGAAGGCTGCCCTAGGCAGGCAGAGCTCAGTAGACCTGGTGGTTCTTCCCACCTCTGTCACTGCCACAGACTCAGGACTGAATTCGGAGTACTCCTTCCTCTCCGGTTTCCACCCAAACCACTCTGCAAAGGGCTACCGTGAGAGAAGCCTAAGGGCATGGCTCCTCAAGGGAATGGTCTGGGGAGCAGAACAAAGGGCTCTGGGGAAGCCCTCCGACTTGAGGTTCCAAGGCCCCAGGCCCAGCCGTGGTGCCGCCTGAACGTGGCTGGGAGCCAGGCAGGCCCTGTTGGTGAAGCCCTGGTCCTTCAACCCTGTACCTCCACGCCCTGCTGTGGCACACCGACCCCCGCCCCAGCACCCGAGCACGTGCAGTATAAAGCACACCAGACCATGATGGGAAGGCACGAATGCCACAAAAACCCTCAAGGCCATTTCCGTTCTTGGTCCTACTTAGTACTGCCAACAGAAAAAAGCCACCTCACCTTGCAAAGCCCTGGGGCAGCTCACCGAGGCCGTAGAGCGGATACAAATAAGGACTCTTTCCGTACCGAGCCAGGGACTCACTGTACAACTTGATGCGGTTGATGGTCTCGAGACAAGGCTGGTCCAGGTAACTGGGAGGATGGGGTCAAGAGAAGAAGCTCCAACAGCAGCACCCCAGCTCACCCCCACCCAAGCACCAGGCCAGCCTCCCCACCACCGTCTACGGCCTGGGGAAGGCTCCGGGTCAAACAAATGCGCAAAAAGAGGGGCGCCTGGGTGGCGCAGTCGGTTGAGCGTCCGACTTCAGCCAGGTCACGATCTCGCGGTCCGTGAGTTCGAGCCCCGCGTCAGGCTCTGGGCTGATGGCTCGGAGCCTGGAGCCTGTTTCTGATTCTGTGTCTCCCTCTCTCTCTGCCCCTCCCCCGTTCATGCTCTGTCTCTCTCTGTCCCAAAAATAAATGCACAAAAAGAACAAAAAAGCTGACGGGTGAACGTGTGGCTGACTACGAGAAACATGCAGGGCGGATGGAGGGAGCAGCGTGCAGGAGTGGGGAGGGCAGGGTGCAGCCAGACGAGGGGGTCTGCCACGCCAGCTTCCTCTCACTCATCAGTGCGGTAGAGCGCCAGGGCATGGCCAGTGAAGTCGATGACGTCCTGGCCCAGGTCAAACTTCCGGTAGACGTCGCGCATGCTGGTGCTCTGGGGGTCGACACCCTCGAAGGTCTTGGGGTCGTTCTCATCAAAGTTTGCTACAAACACCAGGAATTTGCGGAAACGCCGTTTCTCAAACATGCCCATCAGATCTGTGGAGGCAGATGCGAGAAGCCTGTACCCCACAGAACGTGAAGCCCTCCTTCCCAGCAGGCGGGCTAAGAAAGCAGGTGCCCTAGCTCGCAGCCAAGCTTTGCTGACGACCACCGTGTAAGCTTACGTGAGCCCCTTTGCCCTTCTTGGTCTCAGTTTCCCCATCTGTACAAAGAGGGGATTGGGCTGGACAGACTCTGCAGATCCTCCCAGCTCCAACACTTGGGGATGTTTCACGGGACAAGTGGAGCCCTGGTCAAGAGGCTGAAGTCTTTCCAGAAGGAGCAACCATCCACACATCCGTTCTGCGTGTGGACTTCCCTCCTGGCCTCCACTGTGAGGCTCAGGGCAGTTGAAGGCGGCCAGACCAAGGGGCTTCCGGCAGTGCGTGGGGAATGGGACCTTGGGCGCCCTGCTCTGCCCCTCGCCATAATTCTCTGGCCCAGGGAACCTGTACTCACTGGAAGCCAAGGCTTCGGTCTCAGTGGATGGCACTTTATAGATCTTTCCCCCCTTGTAGACAAAGCTGCCTTCCACCACCTTGAAGTCCAGGTAGCGCGTCACCTCTGTATACAGCAGCATCTTTACCAGCTGCCCTGTGGGGCGGTGGGGGAGAAACAACATTGGCACAGCTTCCCCCCTCCCGAAGCTCCCTAGCTGGTATGGCCCCCCCTCCTCCGGAGCCTGCCCCTCTTCAGCCGTCCTCATCGCCTCCCACGACACCTCTTTTCATCTCTCTCACCATTGGCCATGAGGAATTTGGGGATCAGGTCGACGTTCCAGTCTCGGCCCCTGCCCATGGCCTCAGGGGGCCCCTCCAGCAACTGAAAACGCTTATACAGCTGCAAACAGGAGAAAGAGAGGCGCCTCAAGGACCACCCCGTCTGGTCCCTGCCCCCCTTTCCCAGAGAATCTATGGAGCTGCTCAGGCAGCTTCTGTGAAAGGGCAACGGGGGATGGGCCTGGGCCCAGGAGCCTCACCTCCTCCAGGGGCGTGATGGAGGAGCTCTCTCCCCCATAGTAGGGGTTCCTGTCCATGTGCAGCACTTTCTTCCCGTTCACGGACATGATGCCGGACAGGATACATTCCTGGAGAAGGGGGCAACACTTGCCGCATTTCCCTCTGCCCACATTCCCAACAGCCGCCCTGATTTGCTCCCCACCCTAAACCTGACGGGAGAGCAAACCTACAGAGACCCTGCTCCAGCGGAAGCTCCTTCCACCCCTGGCTGGCTGGCTCCCCTAAAAGCCGGGGTGACAGCTTCATCTGACCACAGTCCCTTTTACAACCTTGCTGAGCAGAGTTGAACAAGGAAAAAGAAATAAGGACGGTGTCCAGAGAAAGAGTGCCCAGCAGACACAGGGATGGTCTTGGCCGTGACAAGAAAGCCATCTATCTACGCAGGCCCACGCTAAAAGGCAGAAAGCCCACAATGAGCCTCAGAGGAGATCCAGCTGAACAACGAAGGGCACCAGAAAGGGAAGTGAAGAGAGGCTCGACACCAGCCTGCAATCTCAGGCCCCACCCTGGGCTGCTCTTTCCTCAAAGGACAGGAGCGGCTGACCCTGTGTGTGTGTGCCCAGCCACAGGAGGGGCTTCTACACCCCGACTGAGAAAGAGGAGCCTCTCCAGGGGAGCAGTCCAACAGGGTCTGGGGGAAGAGGGAAGATAAACACCCTCACTCGTTTCTGTCACCAGGCCAAGGACAAAGGCTGCAAATACTCCTCAGCCTGGAATCTCCATGGGAAACCGTGGTAGGGTAGCGGGAATGTGCTCCCTGGCCCCAATGCTGTTCCTTCTGGAACATTCCCTGGGCCCCGGGCCGCACTGAGAAGCCAGGAACGCAGGATGAGGGCCCGCCCCGGTGAGGCCCCCTTACCCAGGGACCTTGTGCTTCACCCGCACCAGAATTAGCACAAGATGTGGGAGGGATGCTGTGTGGGCGACGGGTGCGGATGATGGCTGGGGGCCTGGTGGGCGGGGTCGGGGGCACGACGGGGAGGGGGGACTCCGGCCGAGTGGGGGGTGCATCTTCTGGCCCAGGAGGCCTGGATACAGAGGGAGGGGGGGATCGGAGGTCGAGCCCGGGGAGTCGAGGGGGCGGCTAGGTAGAGGGCCGCTTCTTGCAGACCGGGCGACGGGGGTGGAGAAAGACGATGTCGCGGGCGGTGGTAGGGTGGGCACGGGGCGGTCTTTTTGGGGACCCGAGCGCCTCGGACGGCAATGACGGGAAGATAGGGGTCGGCGGTCGGGGGCGGCAGCGCCGCAGGAAGGACGAGACGATACGGGACCCCGGGGGCCTGAGACCGCACTTACGGTGAGGCCGGTCCCCAGCACGATCACGTCGTATTCCTCGTCCATGGTCAGGCCTCGCTGCCAGCGCCCGTCGCTCCTCCTCCTCCTTCAGCACAGTCCTCGCCGCCACCGCCGCCGCCGCCGCCACCGCCGCCGCACTGGACCAAAGATGGCGGCAGTCGACGCCGCTTGACCCCTCCGCCGCGTCAAAGAGTCCCAGCCCCTCCCCGCGTCCCGCCGCGCCAGCTGGGGCCACCGCCTCCCTGGCTCGCCTCCCAGGAGGGCGGCCGGGGTCCGGGAGGCAGCACGAGCGCGGTTCCGCGGGCGGCGTCGCTCGCCGAGAGCCCTGAGGGGACAGGAGAGGGGCGGGGCGGGCGGGGCGGCCGGCGGCCGGTGCTGCGGCCCGCGAGGGATTCGTGCGCGGGAGACGCGCGCGACCCGGCCGCCCGCCCCGCCCCCCAGGAGGCTGGGTGCGGCGGGCGCGCGCCGCTGCGGCAGCCGGGGGCGGCCCCCTCGGGACGCGAAGGCAGCTATTGTCACGACGGTCTCCCCCCCCCCCCGCCCCCACAGGCACGGACCGCCCCGCCCTCCCCGCCCGCGAGCCTCAGCCCCTCCGTACCCTCGCCGGTTAAGGGCTTGCTGAAGACCCTCCGGCCTTCCCTCATCCGGGCGCCTCCTCCTGCAGCCCTCAGCCAAGCGCATCCCCTCGTGCCCGGTGCAGAAATGAGTGACAAGAGGCCTAAGCATGGCAACCTGTCTTTATTTTATTAGGAAGGAAACCACCCAGAACCCCAGGCTCCTGCCAGGCACTCCTGGCGGGTACATGCCAGAAAACCAATGATTACACCCAACCCAGCTGCTGTGGAGGTCTCTTCCTTCTCAGGCCACAGAAATAAACCCCAGTGTACTGCTTATTATTAGCACAACATCACCAAAAGACAATGACACCAGCCAAGCAGGACAATTAAATAGTACTTCCACACCGCCCCAAACTCAGGGAACCTTCAGCTTCTAGCTGCTGCAGGGAGCCCCGTAAAGTCTGGGGAGGGAGCATTTGATACACAAAAGCACTATAAACAGCAAAGGGGGAAGGTGGAGAGATGAGAATAAATAAGGGGGAAGAGGGGGTCCCAGAACTCATGTCCTCTCCCCCTACAATGACTGGACCTGGGAGATCTGTCTCCTATCTACGAAGAACTATGTACACCTTGCTGGTAGATGGAGGATGGAGAGCCCCTCCGCGTGTTGAACGGGTAACAAGACAGGCCGAGGGGAAGTGGGGGGTTCATGCTATGGTAGGAAGAGGGGAAGCCCTTCAGTCATGGGGTCACACGATCTGGGTCAAAGAGATGGTGGGGCCCTTGTGGTCGTCAAAGCGGTCCATGGTCTTGAGGCTGAGGATCATGTGTAAGCCATAGGTAAAGATGAACAGCATGAACAGGGAAGTGAGCAGCCCCATCCAGATGCCCGGGGAGAAGAAGCCGGCGCAGTCACTGGCGTAGGAGAACTGCTCGCCTGTCACGTTGAAGGCTTGGATCTGGGAGGGGACAGAAAGGACCATGTGGCCCCACGTGAGGACCGGGGGTCCCAAGTTAGTGGGTTAGTCCAGATCCCACAGAATGGCAGCACTGTGGGCACAGGACCCTCAACTACGCGGCCAAGCCCAGGCCCAGAGATGCCGGGAGCCATCAGGCCTCCGCTGCCCACCCGCCTCCCCCAGGTACGCTGCTCCCCACAGCCCGGGCCCCGCGCTCCCTACCTGGAAGTGCTGAAGGGTCATCTGCCAGAGAGAGGGCCGCACACGGGGCACGAGGAGGTCGCCGTTCTTGCCCAGACAGCTGACGTACTCGCAATGAAAGGAGTAGATGCTAGGCCCTGTGACCTGGGAGGCATTGAAGTAGGTGACAGAGCCGTTGCTGTGGATTTCAAGGCGCTCCATGGTAAACCAGTGGCGGGCAGACACCGGGTAGAAGCGGTTGGCCAGAATGAACCTGAGGGAGAGGCCGTCCGGGGATTCGTCAGGCAGCCGGGAAGGCCGGAGCCACGCCAGCCTGCCCACACGTCAACTGCCCCTCGGACTCACCTGAATGTCACGGTGGTACCAAAGAGTTGTTCGTAGGTCAGCGAAAGCCTGCGGGGCCAGAGTAAGAGGGGAGTTGTCAGGCTCTGGGGGGCCTTTAACATCTAGCAGTAGAGCAAGTTCCTCAAGTCCACTCTACCTATGCTGCCCCGGGTACTCACAGCACCTGAAGAGGCAGTGTCCCAACCTGACAAATGGGGAAACTAAGGCCCTATCACATCTAGGTCAGAAACCAGCACCCAGGTCCCCCACCTCCAGCTAAAAGCACCTTCCTCTGGTTTCCCTGAGCCTACTGCCCCTCCTTTCAGGTCCCCTCGGGGTTGCTGAGATGCCCGGATTGGGCTTTGGGGATAAAGGTGGTCTCTCCAGCCACGCAGCGAGGGTACAGAAGCCCTAGAACTAACTCAGGCCTGGTATACACCCTCGGGCCGTCACCTTGAGGCTGTTTAAGGCGAAGGGGGTGTGGGGAAGTGTCAGGTTCCCTGGTGATTGGGAAGTGTTAACAACCAAGGTTCTGGGCAAGGACTAGAAGGCATGGAGAGGCAAAACTCTGAGCAAGCCCCACTCCAAGAGCCCTCCACCTGCCCTACCCCACAATCTCACCTGCTTCCCACAGGGAACCTCCCCCCCAACATACACATGCACCCACCTGCAGTGACAGGAACTCTGCCCTTACCTGGCAACAGAGTCATTCCAGAAGGAGCCAGTGAGGTTAAGATCCTGGACCCCAAAGGTGAGGGAGGTCAGGTCCTCCCAGTGGTTCCCGTATGCCACCGAGAAGTTTTGGGCCCAGAACAGGATCCGGGGGGCAGTGTCATTGTAACTCACAGGGGGATGGACCACAGCTGACACTGTCTGTTTTTGCAGCAGCTGGCGACCTAGCCCCCCAGTCACCATGGCTACATCACGGGCCACCTGTACAAACAACCCACAAGCCTTGTCTCAGTGGAGCTGAGAGCATGGCCCAGAATCAAGTGGCCTTCCTCATTGTCCCCGCTGGGCACCCTCTCTAGTATCTGCAGTTGCACTGGTCATACTCGGAGGCCCTTCCTCCAGGAAGCTCTTCCCGGGCGGACCCCTAAGCCCCTGTGATCTTCCTAGTCCCTCCAGATTAGGAACACTTGGATATACTGTCCAAATATGCCAGCCTGTGAGGCCCACTGGGCCAGATGGAAGGCTGCAGCCTGGAAAGAGAAAGCGTCACTTTCTGGTTCATCCCTGTCCCCCCCACATAGGCCCAGGGAAGAAACCGGCCCCCCCAGGGCATTCCCCTCGGAGCCACACACCTAGGCCCACTCAGCACTTGCCTCTGCCCCCGGCTTCCAGGGCCCCTGCAGAAGCACACACTACGTACCCGGGAAGGGCGGACCGCCGTGAGGGCCGCGGTGTACGGGACGTCTTCGGATTTGAGTGTGCTCAGCACCTGCCCGATGACCTCATCTGAGGAGCGAGGGGGAGAGCAGAGAACCAGGTCGCAGATAGCTACTTACGGTAACGCCCCAACACCTGCCAGAAGCCGGCTGCCAGTCCCGCAGCAGAAGACAATGGATTCGGGGCTGTGCCCTTCCATGTGCCATGTGAGCGGCCTCTCTTGACGACATCCAGTGGGATTACCGTGTTGGGGTGGGGACCACCAGATGTCTGCACTGTGAAGCCTCCCACCCCTGGCAACTGACACACCCTGTGTGGTGGGACACACCCTGTGTGGTGGGACACCGAGATCCTCACAGAGCTGGCTCCTATCACCCTTCACTCACGTTTTCAGGGTCCCTCACGGGTCCCTAAGAGCAGCTGCTTCTTATCCCACGCACCCCCAGCCTCCCCCGGGGACACCTACGGCCTCAGCAGTTGGCTCTCTACTGCCAAGCCCTAACTAAATTAAATGAGAAAAGGGGCGCCTGGGTGGCTCAGGCGGTTAAGTGTCCTACTTCGGCTCAGGTCATGATCTCGTGGTCTGTGAATTCGAGCCCCACGTCGGGCTCTGTGCTGACAGCTCAGAGCCTGGAGCCTGCTTCGGATTCTGTGTGTGTGTCTCTCTCTCTGCCCTCCCCTGCTCACGCTCTGTCTGTCTCTCAAGACTAAATAAACATTAAAATAATAAATAAATAGATAGATAAGTAAATAAGAAAAGACAGAGATATAGAAAACTCCAGGTTCACTTAGACATTTTCAATGACCTTTTGGGGGGAACGATCATCCTTCATAGCAAAAGGGAAGTCCTCAGAACTGTTTTTTGAAACACTTCCGGTCTGTTAAACCCAAAACTCTAGGATTCACGCTTCTGGAGTGGAGGCGGACTCCACGGGCCCCCCCCACACACGGAAGGCCCCTAGATGTCCCAACACCTCGAGCTGGCTGAAGAGGGGTGAGGCCTGGGGGCCGCATTTCTCTGCTCAGCCACCAATCATTCTGAGAAGGGGGGGGGGGGCACCCTGGGAATGAAGAGGGCCTGGGGAACTTGGAGCCAGCTCTCGCAGCCACGGGCTGAATGAGGCTGGCAAACGCATGCCCTCCCTGAGCCCACTCACCATTGCCCGTGAGGACTTCCCTCGGCGCCATCAGACCTGAGCTGTGGAAGAGAAGCAGAGCGTTTGAGCCCCTGCAACGCCAACAGCTCCCCACCGCCTGGGGACACCTGCCCCCTACTCCGCCAGCGTGTCCTCCACCCCATGCCACCATCCTCCCCTACTAGTCCCATTCACCCCGCACACTCCAGCCGGGGGCTCTGGAAGCCATGGTCACTCCTCCCCCCGCACCTTTGCTCACTGCATGCCCCTGCACTTGCCCCTCTCCTCCAGCTTCACAGACCCGGGCAAGGCCCCGCCGGCTGCTCCGTGAACGTGTCCTGGCCAAGGGAGCTAGCTGCCACCAGCAGGGCCCAGATCTGCCTCGTCTCTAGAGGGCCTCACTCAGGGGCGGGCACTAACTCCTGAGTCACAACCGACCAGAGGCCCTTCCCGCCTCTTCTGGACATACGAGGCACCTTCTGATAGGGCTTCAAGGTACTGAACAGGAGGACTGATGTTTTGGCCAAGTTGTGCTACCACGGCCAAGAGCTTCGCTGCTCTCTGGGCCCCAGGGCTAGGACACACCTGGCTGTGTACGGCAGGCGGATGAGCAGCAAGGCTGGGAGGCTGGCATTGAGTCTCAGCTCCCGCAGGGTGGCCAAGTCCACGTGCAGGGGGCTGGCCCCAAGCTTCTCCTGCAGGTAAGTGGTCAGAGTGCTGACCGCATACCAATCGACGGCAGGAAGCACCAGAGAGGAAGGAGCCAGATCCAGGGCATTCTGGGGGCCGAGGGGAGGCAAAAGGACAAGTCAGCAAGGGACCAGTGGGCCCGTGCCAGCCCCCAAACCTCCGCGGCAGCCCTCTTTAGCAAGGCACACCCACGCCGGCATCTTATTCGAGGTCAGAAAGAAAACACCCCACATTCCCGGCCCCCGACACCTCAGGCTTTTCTACCCCCAAGCTTGCATGTCTGGTTCCTAAGGGGACGGTTTTTCCTGTGCTGTGGGGGAGAGTGCTGGACAGCCCCCGTGGCCCCTGGCTGGGAGGGGACCCTTACCTCCAGGTTCGAAAAGGCACTATCCTGCTTGTTTCCAAACACGCCACCATATGCTGTGAAGTCCTCAATGCTCAGCTAGGAGAGAAGCAGAGAGGATGCCTCCGAAGGTGGGGCCAGGGAAGGGGCACACAGCTTCCGTGTGCGTTTGCGGGGCCAGCCAAATCTCATTTACGGCCAGCTATGGTCTGGTCAAAAGACTGAACAAAGGCACGCTTGGGGGTAGGGAGTGGGGGAAAGGAAGGTTCTCTTTTTTTCGTTTGGCACCCTCCTGGCAGGGTGAGAAAACATGGGTGGTGGTCACGGGGTTGGGAGGAAATCTGTGGGCAGCTGACTTGTGGTAACCTCAGGATTAAGAGTCAGCCACCTACCTTCGGATGAGGAACTGGGTACGGAATGGGGAAGCTGGGAGAGGGGTAGGGGGCAGCGAGGAGCATTTACTGCAGCGCCCCCCATCCCCGGGCCGGAAGTCCGAGAAAACGAGAAGCTGCATTCAGTCGCAACGGCTATAACGCCACCTATGTCCGGTCTGGACGGGACCCTTCTCAGACAAGAGCAAGGACCTCCTTCCCTGCCTCGTTTTGGTGGGAGGAGAGAGGTGAAGACGATGGAATGCGCTTAAGAAGGCCGAAGTCTTCTGAGTCTTCTAAGCTCTCCGGACACAGTAACCCTGACCCCTCCCTATTCCTCTCCAACCTACAGATGTCCTTCAACTCCTGCCCCTCCACCCCAACTCCCAGCTTCCTCTGGCTTTTCCCAGTTAGGCCCAGAGGCGATCTTAATCAGTTTCTCTAACCTCGTTCTGTTTAGTACACACACTTGCCCAGCCTCCTCTCTCTTCTGGGCTGGGATCCTGACCCTGTTTGGCCGCCTGGGCTCTCATTCTGAAAGTCCAGTAACCACCACTGTGTCCTCCCGATAGTCTTCGCTCAAAATTGCCCCCAAATTGCCCCAAAGCTTCCCGCCACCTTTAGAACTACAGCAAGCCTTTCCCCCTCATGTCCTGGCTACCTGGCTGACCATGTCCTACCCCCTTCTCTCCCTCACGACACTCCACTTGAGCCACACCAGCTCTTTCTGGGCTCACGGAGAGCACTCCTGGCCCAGGGCCTTTGCACCTGTTGTTCCCTCTGCCAGGAAGCCCTCCCACCCATACCCACATGGCTCTGTCCCTCCCTCCATTTAGGTATCTGCTCGGATATTGTCAGGGAGCCCTTGCCTGATCACCCTTAAACAGCATCACCAGTCATCCTTTTCCCTTGGCCTGCTTCCTTCTCTGAAAACTACAGCACTGACATTGTATCACACACCAATTCAGCATTTACCTGTTGCCCCCACAAGAACGTCAGCTTCTGCCAGGTAGAGGCTTGGGTTATTCTGCTCACTGCTCTGTCCCCAACACTTGATACCTGGTACATACTAGGCAGACCACGTCTGGCAAATGAATGAACGTGTGAATGCCATAAGGGGACCGCAGGGAGCTGTTTTACATAGATTATAAGAGTTGCTCCTCACAGCCCTCTGACAGAGGTGGTGTCTTCATTTTACAGATAAGGAAACGGGCATTCTCTGATTCTCTCGCACGTCCAGAGTCTGGTAAGTAGTAGGACTAGAACTGAGTTGCAGTCTACCTACATTATTTACCACCTCCTGACAGGACTACGGGCCAGCATGGCCACCGCTGTCTTCCCACAGGGCAACAGGGGGAGACCACAAGGGGAATGAGTCACACAGGCCGCCACCAACGAAGGAATAAGCAGAGGCTTGGTAACCTCCCAAATACCAAGTCTCCACTGCCCTAGAATCTTCTTATGGTCCATCTGCCTGCTTTGGAGGCAGAGAAACCTGCATGGGAGGGAAAACTGTGTGCTAGAGCACAAGCCGTGGGGGGGGGGGGGTCCTCTGGCAGACTCAGACAGGAACCAACTGTGGTGCGCATAAACTACGGACCACCAGCCAATTGTCACACCTCTACCAACCTCAGTTTCCCTGGCAGTAAAACCAAGAAAATGACATCAGCTTAGCACAGTGCCTACGAAGCAGTCAATAAGTGATCATTTTCGATCATCTCAATTATGATCATTAAAGTTAGGATCACAACTCTGTCACCCATCAGCTGTGTCATTTGCCATTGCCATCCTTGGACAGAAGTCTTGTCATCTGTAAACAGGGTCAATAATCCCCACCGCACAGAGTAGCTCAGGTAAGTACTTGGTACTCAGAAGACATCTGCCCTCTGACCCCCTGCTTCACCCAATCGAGGCAGTGCCATTTCAGGGCCCCCGTCCTTCCCACTGAACCTTCTCCTGCAGGCCTTCTTCCCAAGAGAGGAGTCCCACGTCCCTACAGTTGGCACAAGGTCACTGAAGCCTCCCTTGGGGAATGGGCCTAGGTGTGGGGGGGGGGGGAGGGCCTGACTTCTTCCTGACAACTGAGGGAGAGAGAGGTGGGGCGGGCGCACCTTGTCCTGGAGGAACAGCAGCACATTCCGGGGGCCCAGCTCCAGGGCGGGGTCTAAGTAGGTGGAGAGCTGCATGTCGCTGGTGATGTGGCCCTCGTGGGTGTTGGCCGCAGGACCCCACAAGTCCCTGGCAGGGGACAGAAGAGGTGCTGTCAAGGGGGGGGGGGGGGCGCATGACTTAGGATCTGAAGCTCACGGGCTCCCATCTTGATGCGTGGGGCCCCGAGCTCTGATCTGGCTGGACAGTCCCCCTCTGCCCCACTCGGCCACCGCTCGTGAGGACAGCCCCGGAGCCGGGCGAGGGCACCTCAGCCGCCGCGGCGCGCAGCACAGCCTGCGCCGGCCCGGCCCGCCATGCTCACCGGTCACTCGACCACAGCACCAGGGGCACCTGCTGCTCCGCCTCCGCCACCGCCACCAGCACCAGCAGTAGCCACCGCATCTGCCAGAGCGCTGGGGCCTGCCGCGTCCCCGCCTGAAGCCGAGCCGCTGCGGTCGCCGCCATCACAGCCTCGGCCTCAGCTGCCTCGGCCGCCGCCGCCGCTGCAGATCAGGTGACCGTCGCCCCCCCCCGAGCTCCGCCCCCCACCGCCATTGGCTCGCGAGTAGGCCCGCTCCCCAGGACCGCAGACGATTGGACAAAGATCATGCCACTCACGGCCACTCCTGTTCACTGATTGGCTGGGCGTGTCTCCGGTGCGCACGCTCCAAGTGGGAAAGGAGGCAGGGCCGAGCTCGGCCGGCTCTTGGTTCCCATCGCGAGTTAGGGCGGGGCTGGGACGGCTCCGCTTGGTAGGTCTTCACACGCAGGGCTTCGCGTCTCTCGGTTTTAATATTCCTTCCGCTTAAAATTGCAAGAGTGCTTTCTTTTCCTGCAGATGGATTCTGCTTGAAACAGATGAGGAGAGAAGAGGGCCCCGGATAACGTGCAGAAGAACCCCAGCACTTAAAATGGGCAGGGAGTAGGGGGGTCCAGAAGAGATCGGAGGAGTATCCAGGAGGAGGGGAAAACCCAGGGAGAAGCGTGGTTTCAAGGACACCAAGCTGAACAATATCAGAGTTAACTGCTGCCAGGAAGCAGGTAAGATGAGGATAGAAAACTGTTTCTTGGACTTAGCAACAACTGGAAACTTTGGCAAGAGCGATGTCAATGGGAGGAAGGAGACACGGTCGTTAAGTTGTCTTTTCTCGAAGTTTCCTTTAAAGAGAGGAAAGAGACAGAGTGACAGCTAGAGTCAGAAGATGGGAGACACCGCCTAAAACGAATTGGATGACTTTTATCTTTTTCTGTGCCATGTTCGGTTTCTCAGACTGGTGACTATTAGAAACAAGCGGACAAAAAAACCTGGTAGCTGTAATCAGTGAAGTCCCGTTAGGGATATGTACACCGATTTATTTAGGAGGAAATGAACTGATGGCTGCAACTTAGTTTGAAATGCACCAAAAATAAAATGGAGGGAAGTGTGGCTACAGAGATAGGTTTGTGATAAAGCCAACAGTGGTAAAACGTTAATGGCACAACCTAGGGGTGGATCTATAGGTGGGCATTGTAAGCTTTTTTTGACCTTGCTGTATGTACTGGATGTAATGGTGACCCCTTGAAATTCATGTTCATCCGATGAACTTGTAACGTGACCTTATTTGGAAATAGGATCTTTGCAAATGTGATCAAGATAAGGTCATGGTGGATTCATGTGGGCTCTAAATCCAATGACTGGTATCTTTATAAGAAGAGGAAAATTTGGACACAGAGACAGACACACAGGGAAGAAGGCCGCGTGACAATGGAGACAGATTAGAGTGTTACAGCCGTAAGCCAAGGAACCCCTGGACTGGCCACAAGCTGGAAAAGGCAGGAAGGTTTCCTCCCTAGGGCTTTCAGAGGGAGCATGGACCTGCCTGTACCTTGATTTTGGACTTGGAACCTCCAGGCTTGGGAGAGAAGTTTCTGTCGTCTTAAGTCTGCCAATTTATGGTGATCTGTTACGGCAGCCCTAGGAAACTAATACACTATATGTGTGACATTTTTCACAACAAAAATTGAGAAGAAAGTTTGATAATGCCTATTGTCAGCAAGGATGTTAGGAGATAGAGTCTCACCTACACAGTGGTAAGAGTGTCAGTTGGTAGAACCAATTTGGTGGATAATTTGGCAGCATCTAACAAGCTGAAAAATGTATATGACCCTCAACCAAGCAATTTTCCTCATACGGGTCCATTCAACAGAAATACTCAACCTGAGCCGGGAGACGCACATGCAGAAAGGTCTGCTGAGGCACCATTTGTGGTTGCAATAAGCCGGCCGCTCATGATTGGACAGCGAGACACTATGTCCAGACACCGCTGCCCTTCAAACACCCAGGCCAGCTCACTGATTACCTCTGCTTGTCAGAGAAACTGCTTAAGAGATTGTAGTCGTGGTTGTCACGAGCGTGGCTCTGACTAGGACAGTGGCAGTTGAGCCTAGAGAGAGGAGGTGGACTTGATAGGACATGGTTGAGGAAGACGGTGTCCGAAGGTGACTCTTGGGTCTCTCAGTTGAGGACTGAGAGACGGAGTCAACCAGGGACAGTTAAATTTGGGGTGTTGTGGGGCCCCCAAGTGGCCATGTTCAGGCCAGCTGAGGGGAGACGTTTGCACTGGAGCTTTACTTTATCCCCAGAAGCCCCAGTGCCATGATTTGATTTTAATTTTTTTAAGGCTTATTTATTTTTGAGAGAGAGCTTGAGTGGGGGAGGAGCACAGAGAGGCGGAGGCACAGAATCCGAAGCAGGCTCCAGGCTCTGAGCTGTCAGCACAGAGCCCGACGCGGGGCTCGAACTCACAAACCATGAGATCATGACCTGAGCCAAAGTCGGACCCTCAACTGACTGAGCCACCCAGCGCCCCCATCTGATTTTTTGTTAAGCGGCTGATCTGGCTGTGGTAAGCAGAGCAGACTAGAGGGGATGAGAGCACTAGCAGAGACCAAGAGGAGGCTGTCACGTCTCTGGGACGGAGAGGATGGGAGCTTGGCAAGAGTAATGGAGGGGCAGAGAGAGAAGGCTAGACAGACCAGAGGCTGCTGCCTCAGCGTTGGTCCAGGACTGATGTTTTGACCAGGTGTCGTGATGCCAGCATGGGGGCAGGGGTCCTGGGAGCATTGGAACTGAGAAGTTGGAGCCAGAGCCAGAGCTGGGGCAGCCAGGGAGACGAGGGACCAGCACACAGCACGACCCTGGGACTCGGCTGCATTCCCTCGTTTGGTCACTCACGGAAGTCCTGGAGAGCCTGCCTGGGCTGGCACCCAGTGGTGAAAGAAATGAGGTCGAGGTCCCTAAATGGCATCGCCGTGTGGTGAAGTCCTCCAGGCTCAGGACAGACCCAGCAAGGGCCGTATTTTGGGAGGAAAGTTCTAGAATGGTGCCACAGGAGCAGAAGGTATCAAGGGAAAGGGACGGATGCCTTGGGGACCAGGAGAATGGTGACACAGAGTGATAAGAGGAACCACTGGCCATGAGCAAACTGAAGAATACAAAAAGAACTGTTTAAATAAATTTTGAAGGCAATGACTTTCTTGCAAATGCGACGTTGCCAGCCAGCAGTCTCTTGCTGAAATGCTTTCATCCTTAGGGGGGAAGGTTGCTTGTGGCTGCTTTTATTCCTCTGAGTTGTCGGGGGTCCTTGGAGTGGTGACCCTCGAGGCTTCCTAAAGCACTTGTTATGGGCCAGGCACTGAGTCAGATTTGGACCCCACCCCCCTCCCCCAAGTTCCCAATCCAGTCTGGTCTAGAGAAGATGCAGGACAGCAGGACATGACACAGGCTGATGGATGTTCAAAATGGGGAGGGATGAGGCTGGGAGGGAGGCACAGAGAGGGGCACCTGCTTGAGGCTGCTCTGACCAGGAGGTGACATCTAAGCTGAGTCACTCACACTAAATGTTGACAGCACCAATGAGCATCTTCTCTCTGTGGGCTTCCTCCACCTTTACGGTAAAAACTTCAATAATTCGGGGCGCCTGGGTGGTTCGGTCGTTAGGCGTCCAACTTCGGCTCAGGTCAGGATCTCGCGGTTCGTGAGTTCGAGCCCTGCGTCGGGCTCTGTGCTGACAGCTTGGAGCCTGGAGCCTGCTTCGGATTCTGTGTCTCCGTCTCTCTGCCCTTCCCCTGCTCATATTCTCTCTCTCTCTCTCTCTCTCTCTCTCTCTCTCTGTCTCTCAAAAGTAAATAAATGTTAGAAAAATTTTAAAAAAATTTTTTAACTTCAATAATTCATTAGAACCCTTCTGGGCCCTCATCATCCCTATGTCTTCTTAAATTGTTTTATTTTTTTAAATGTTTATTTATTTAGTTTGATAGAGAGAAGAGGGGGAGAGCATGAGCAGGGAAGGGGCAGAGGTAGAGGGAGACAGAAACTCCCAAGCAGGCTCCGTGCTGTCAGCACAGAGCCCAATGTGGGGCTCGAACTCCTGAGCTGTGAGATCATGACCTGAGCTGAAATCAAGCTTAAGTGACTGGGCCACCCAGGCGCCCCTTCTTAAATTGTTTAATAGAGTATTGGACACGAAGCAAGACATGTGTAATATCTATATGCTACACAGGTTACATATGTGTTACATGTATATGTGTCACCTGTTATATGTTACCTGTATATGAAGCATACAATAAAAGGAATCCTCATAAACCCTGCCCCAGACTTCACAGGCCACTGCCAACTCCTTGGCAGGAATCTGGGTCCCCACATCCCATTTTCCTGCCTCCCCACAGAAGTCCTTGCTAGCCTGAATTTGGTATTTGCCGTTCTCCGCTTTTTCTTAGTAGGTTGACCACGTATATATGTGCCCATGTGTCTGATGCCTGCACTCCTCTCTAATCACCTCCACCTCATTTCCACCGAAGTGAGCCCAGACCTGACCTTTGTGGTCATCACTTTGGTCCTGATCATTTTACTAATTGCATTAACCTGTTCCAGCTTTTATGATAAAATACCACAGACCGGCGGCTTGTAAACAGCAGAGATTTATAGCTCACAGCTCTGGAGGCCAGGAGTCCGAGATCGGGGTTCCAGCAGGGTGGGGCGAGGGCCCTCTTCCAGGTTGCGGGCCTTGATTGTATCCTCACCTGGTGGAAAGGGCCGGGGAGCCCTCTGGGGCCCCTCGGGGGGCACTAATCCCAATCGTGAGGGTTCCACCCTAAAGACCTAAGCACCTCCTCGCGCCCTGCCTCTTAATACCATTAGGACACTAGGTTTCAACGTATGAACTTGGTGTAGGATGACGCAAACACTCAGACCATGGCACCAGTTAAGCATGCATCTCTAAATATGATGGCTTTGTTTTGTCTGTTTGGGGACTTCATGTAAGTGAAATTATCCAATATTATATTTTGCATCATGATTGCTCAAGAACGGGAGGTTAATGCGAATCATTGCGTGATAGCAGTACTGCTGCGTGGCATTCCCCTGGATAAATATTCTGCCAGTGATTGAGGCCTTCCCCTGGTGACGGACATCTGAGTGGTTTCCTACCCTGGTTAGTATGGCTAACGGTGCTGCCTGCAGTTATGTATATGT